ACACTGCTATGCGAATTCCTTGAAATACAACTCTGTTGGAAATGACTTCCTGAAATATCACATGCACGACGTCGTGAAACTTCTTTCCTACGGTTGCTAGCTTTTCTACGAAACTGTGAACATGTTCCTGTACAACTTTCCTCAGTACTTCTCGCTGTTGTTTTACTAGGTACCTAGGGGCGTAGCCTGACTCAAGGCTCTCACTCTCTTGGTTCTCGGTGTTCTGGTCGCCGTTCCTGTTCTCTTCCGTGTAGTACTCGCCGGTCACGCTAACGACGCTGTAGAGCTCGTTCATCACTTGGTTCGCGCACAACAAAGCGTACGGTACCATGACTTTTCCTATCTCCACATAGTCCTTAGTCGTGTACGCGTTCGTGTTCCTGATCGTGTTCACGTTGGTGCCGTCGGGGTTCACGCTGCACTCGTTGTAGCCTTGCTGGTAGTACTCGCCGTACACGTCGTAGTTCCTGTAGCGGTTCCGGTGCGTATTGGGCTTCCTTCTGCTCGACCACACTACCATGAGCTCGCTCTCGTCGCTCTCCACGTAAGTGAGTTCCTTTCTCCCACGGCTCACATCCTTGGAGGGTAAGGCATCTCCAAGGGCAAGTTCTTCCTTGGTCTCCACGTTGTTGCCAAGGGCCTGCCACGGTCTCACCGCCATACTTCCTGCTCCTGGGACCAAGATCATCCCGCACAAAGTTGCGAGGCTTCCCAGTGCGAAACCAACCAGCAGCACAATACATGCTGCCAAACCGTAGCACTTCATGTTCCTTTTCTCTTTCTCTTCCACCAACACTCGGTCGGGGTAGCAATCGCTGCAAGCGTCAAAGTCTCGCGCATTTCCTGCTGTCACGTTGTGGTTACGAAGGTGTCCACAACCTCTGCGGTGTTACTTTGTTCCTGAACGGACTGCGATCCTGAGCGTGGGCATGTTGAGCACTGTCTCCGTCTTCTTGGTGATCTGCTCATTTGCGCGCATCTGCTTCCATCCGGCAACGAGGCAAACTGCCATGGCGCCGAGCATCATGGTTCCTATGGCTACGATCGAGTAGCATCATCGCTGCCAAGGAGGTTCCTGGAGGCAGCTCCGCTACCATGTTAAAGAACGGGCTTCACTAAGGGTTCCTACCCACAAAGACTGTCGGACACTTTGGTTCCTGGGCACGGTGTGTCCTGGGGTCTCGAGCCTGCACGTCGCGTGTGCGTGACGGCTGTTCCTGTACATTAACTGTACTGCACTAGCTGTGTTACTGTTCCTGGCAGAATGTTTAACACAGCATCATTCCTTGTGCTTCATCCTGCTTGTATATCCGCTGGAGATCAGCGTCAGTTTGCAATGTCATCGAGGGTTCTCGAAGCTTTTGTTTAGCCAATCGAGATCTTTGAGCTTTATTAGAAGGCATCGCCGGAACTAGATCATCGAGGCTTCCGTCTACGATTGCCAAGATTTGTGGAGTCAGCAATAGCCAATAGCTTGCAAGATCATCAAAGCTTCTTGAAGCCTTTGTCCAAGTCCACCAAAGGGATTTGGAGCCAGCTGCGGCCTAAAATTCTACACACAGCGGTCCGATGCTTCTGGTGACCCCTTTAATAGAAAAATAAAGATTCGAGTCCCTGAGGCCTCGTAATCTTGCAAAAACAAGTGTCAACTCATTTCGCAGGGTTTGAAGCCGTTCGAGGCCGCCCGAGGCCTCATTTCCCAGAGTTTGAAGCCGTTCGAGGCCCATCCGAGGCCTTCCAGAACCTTAAAACACCCTTAGCTTGCAAGAATACGAGGCCTCGGGGACTTGGGGCTTTATAATACTAATTGAGGAGTCCCCACCACGCCTCGGGACGTAGCTGACCCTGCTTTCTCTCCTTATAGAATTTTAAGCCGCAGCTTGCTCGAAGTTCCCTTCAACTTCGCATCTCAGTATCTACAGCATCTGCTGCCCAGGAACAGGGTCCCAAGTTTGTCGGCGACGGCGTAAAAATGACCAAATCGCACATCACCTTGGCATGTCTCTTGCCGGAAGCGGTATTTGGTGCCACGTGCGGCCGCAAGAGATGTTGAGGGCATCCTGTCCACGTCGCTGGAAGGCAACTGATAGATGAAGATAGGCGTGTATAGATGGACGATGCACGCTCCATGGTGGCCGAGACCCCTGCTGCTGAAACCTTCTCAGCCAGGCGGCCAAGGTAAGAGACAAACCGGCCAAACAAGTTCTCGAAACCCAAACCCACCCCTTCTAAATATGGTCAAACCCACCCAAACCCAGCCCCAAACCTCTCAAACCCACTCAAAACCCTTCCAAAACATGGTCAAACCCACCCAAACCCAGCCCCAAACCTCTCAAACCCACTCAAAAACCTTCTACAACATGGTCAAACCCACCCAAACCCAGCCCAAACCCACCCAGGCCTTCTAAACATGGTCAAACCCACCCAAACCAACTTCAAACCAACCCCAAAAACCCATAAGCCACATCAGAGCCACGAACGCCACGAGTGAGGCCTCGGGAGGCTTCGGAGGGCCTCGGAACCCCACGGGGGAGGCTTTGGAAGGCTTCGTTTCTGTCTCGAAACCCCACAAATGACGGTTCGAGAGGCTTTGCACTGTTGGTGAAAATGGCAAGCTGTGCGACTCCAAATGTAGGGCTGAGAAAGTCCAGCAATTCTGGCTTCGCTTGAGTGGGCCTCCCCTGTGCCTGTTTCTTTCATGTTAATTCAATGCTGATTGCTTCCATCATAAGAAAGCAGGCCGGCCATGGAAGTCTTAATCATGCAAGATTGTCCCAGTCGCCTCATCGCGTAGCAGTCAGGCGGGCGTGCCTCAAAGTAGAAGAATTCGCGACCCCAAAAATGGGGCCGTTTGGCGGCCCCATTTTTGGGGTCGGGGCTCCAGGCCTCCAACTCATGCTCAGACTATATATTTAAGGAGGCCGGGCGCATTTCGCAGCCTTGTTTTCGGGGCCGCGAAACGGCCCCATTTTGGGGGTCGCAAGTGTTCGGGGCCAACCAGCTGGATCTCGGGCGTGCGCCTGCCTTTGTTCCAGCAGTTTTGGGCATCACGCAGACGCAAGATTGAAAAAGCCAGAAGGCTTGTCCAAAGTAGCTGCACACTCACCTTAAATGCCACAACCAGCGTACTTGCACTGCGGAGGCCCATGGCGGCGAAGCCAGATTTGCTTCCGTTTCGCGGGCCCAGAAATGGGGTCGTCCGGCAGGATCATTCCTTGTGCTTCATCCTGCTTGTATATCCGCTGGAGATCAGCGTCAGTTTGCAATGTCATCGAGGGTTCTCGAAGCTTTTGTTTAGCCAATCGAGATCTTTGAGCTTTATTAGAAGGCATCGCTGGAACTAGATCATCGAGGCTTCCGTCTACGATTGCCAAGATTTGTGGAGTCAGCAATAGCCAATAGCTTGCAAGATCATCAAAGCTTCTTGAAGCCTTTGTCCAAGTCCACCAAAGGGATTTGGAGCCAGCTGCGGCCTAAAATTCTACACACAGCGGTCCGATGCTTCTGGTGACCCCTTTAATAGAAAAATAAAGATTCGAGTCCCTGAGGCCTCGTAATCTTGCAAAAACAAGTGTCAACTCATTTCGCAGGGTTTGAAGCCGTTCGAGGCCGCCCGAGGCCTCATTTCCCAGAGTTTGAAGCCGTTCGAGGCCCATCCGAGGCCTTCCAGAACCTTAAAACACCCTTAGCTTGCAAGAATACGAGGCCTCGGGGACTTGGGGCTTTATAATACTAATTGAGGAGTCCCCACCACGCCTCGGGACGTAGCTGACCCTGCTTTCTCTCCTTATAGAATTTTAAGCCGCAGCTTGCTCGAAGTTCCCTTCAACTTCGCATCTCAGTATCTACAGCATCTGCTGCCCAGGAACAGGGTCCCAAGTTTGTCGGCGACGGCGTAAAAATGACCAAATCGCACATCACCTTGGCATGTCTCTTGCCGGAAGCGGTATTTGGTGCCACGTGCGGCCGCAAGAGATGTTGAGGGCATCCTGTCCACGTCGCTGGAAGGCAACTGATAGATGAAGATAGGCGTGTATAGATGGACGATGCACGCTCCATGGTGGCCGAGACCCCTGCTGCTGAAACCTTCTCAGCCAGGCGGCCAAGGTAAGAGA